AGTATCTCAATAGATGCAGAGAGAGCATTTGATAAAATAGAACACTCTTTCATGATGAAAACTCTAAGAAAATTGGTTATAGAAGGAACATTCCTCAACACAATCAAGGCAATTTATGAAAAACCCATGGCCAGCATCCTATTGAATGGGGAAAAGTTGGAAGCATTTCCATTGAGATCAGGTACCAGATGGGGATGCCCACTCTCACCATTGCTATTCAATATAATACTGCAAGTTTTAGCCAGAGCCATTAAGCAAGGAATATAAGTCAAAGGGAAACAAATTGGGAAGGAAGAAATCAAACTATCCCTCTTTCCAGATGATATGATTCTTTATTTAGGGGATCCAAAGAACTCTACTAAGAGACTATTGGAACTCATAGAAGAGTTTGACAAAGCAGCAGGATATAAAATCAGTACACAAAAATCAACAGCCTGTGTATACACAGATAATGCCATGGCTGAGAGAGAACTTCTAAGATCAATCCCATTCACAATAGTTACAAAAAACAATCAAATGCCTTAGAATAAACTTAACCAAGGATGTCAGATCTCTCTATGATGGAAATTACAGAATCTTAAAGAAAGAAGAGGGGCCGGTGCCGCGGCTCAATAGGCTAATCCTCCGCCTAGTGGCGCCGGCACACCGGGTTCTATTCCTGGTCCGGGCACTGGATTCTGTCCCGGTTGCCCCTCTTCCAGGCCAGCTCTCTGCTATGGCCAGGGAGTTCAGTGAAGGATGGCCCAAATGCTTGGGCCCTGCACCCCATGGGAGACCAGGAGAAGCACCTGGCTCCTGCCTTTGGATCAGCGCAGGCACCGGCCGCAGCACGCCGGCCGCGGTGGCTATTGGAGGGTGAACCAACGGCAAAGGAAGACCTTTCTCTCTGTCTGTCTGTCTGTCTGTCTCTCTCTCTCTCTCTCTCTCTCACTGTCCACTCTGTCAAAAAATTTTTTTAAAAAAAGAAAGAAGAGGATACCAAAAAATGAAAAAATCTTCCATGTTCATGGATTGGAAGAATCAGTATCATCAAAATGTCCATTCTTCCAAAAGCAATTTATAGATTCAATGCGATACCAATCAAAATACCAGAGATCTGGAAAAAATGAAGCTGAAATTTATATCAAGGCACAGGAGACCTCAAATATTTAAAGCAATCTTGTACAACAAGAATAAAGCCAGAGGCATCACAATACCAGATTTCAAGGCATACTATATGGAAATTATAATCAAAACTGCTTAGTACTGGTATAGAAACAAATGGATAGACCAATGGAACAGAATACAAACACCAGGTATCAATCCAAACATCTACAGCCAACTTATATTTGATCAAGGAGCTAAAAGCAATTCCTGGAGCAAGGACAGTCTTTTCAACAAATGGTGCTGGGAAAACTGGATTTCCACATGCGGAAGTATGAAGCAAGACACCTACCTTACACCTTACACAAAAATCCACTCAACATGGATTAAAGATCGAAACCTATGACTGGCGCCATCAAATTATTAGAGAACATTGGAGAAACCCTGCAAGATATAGGCACAGGCAAAGATTTCTTGTAAAGACCCCAGAGGCACAGGCAGTCAAAGCCAGAATAATAATTGAGATTACATAAATTGAGAAGTTTCTGTTCTGCGAAAGAAACAGGAAAGTGAAGAAGCAACTGACAGAATAGGAGAAAATATTTGCAGATTATGCAACTGATAAAGGATTAATAACCAGAATCCGAAAGGGATCAGAAACTCTACGACAACAAACAACCCGCTTAAAGAGATGGGCCAAGGATGTACATAGACATTTTTCAAAAGAAGAAATCCAAACGGCCAACATACACATGAAAAAATGTTCAGGATCACTAGCCATCAGCGAAATGCAAATCAAAACCACAATGAAGTTTCATCTCACCCCAGTTAGAATGGCTTACATACAGAAATCAACTAACAACAGATGCTGGTGAGGAAGTGGGGGGGAAAGGCACACTAATTCACTGTTGTTGGGAATGCAAACAGGTAAAGCCAGTCTGGAGATTCCTCAGAAACCTGAATATAGCCCTATCACATGACCCAGCCATCCCACTCCATGGAATTTACCCAAAGGAAATTAAATTGGCAAATAAAAGAGCTGTCTGCACCTCAGTGTTTATTTCAGCTCAGTTCACAATAGCTAAGACATGGAATCAACCTAAATGCCCATCCACAGAAGACTGGATAAAGAAATTATAGGATATGTACTCTTTAGAATACTATACAGCAGTAAAAAAAATGAAATCTGGTCATTTGCAACAAAATGGAGGAATCTGGAAAACATCATGCTGAGTGAAATAAGCCAGTCCCAAAGAAACAACTATCATATGTTCTCCCTGATCTGTGACAACTAACTGAACACCTAAAAGGAAACCTGTAGAAGTGAAAGAGACACTATGAGAAACAATGACTTGATCAGCCCTTGTCCCGACTGTTGAGGAATGGTTACTATTTGATTCCTTGTAGTATTTTTTTGTTCTACTTAATACCATTGGTTGAACTCTTTACTTAACAGAGAATTATTCTTAGGTGTTTAAATTTAACTGAAAAGTGATCCCTGTTAAATATAAGAATGGGAATAAGAAAGGAAGGATTTGTACAGTTCAGCACATGCTTACTCAGACTTACCCCTAATGGTAGAGCTAGAAATGTGCCAGGGGATTCCAATTCAATCCCATCAAGGTGGCATGTACCAATGCCAACTCACTAGTCAAAGTGATCAATTTCAGTTCCTAATTGATCAAAAAGATAGTATTAAGTGTCAAAGGGATCACATAAACAAGACTAGTGTATGCTAATAATAACTGATAGAATTAAAAAGGAGAGAATGATCCAACATGGGAAGCAGGATACACAGCAGACTCATAGAATGGCAGATACCCTAAACAGCAATTGGGCCTCAAAATCAGCCTTTAAGGCATTCGGATCTGGCTAAAAAGCCCATGAGAGTTATTCAGGCAGAGAAAGCCAAGATACTCTTTCAGAAAAAAAAAAAAAAAAAAAATTGACCTAAATGAAAGATCTCTGTGAGTGAGATCCTAGCAGAAAGAAATGACCATCAAAGAAGGGGATACCTTTCTCTGAAGGGAGGAGAGAACTTCCACTTTGACTATGACCTTGTCTAAATAAGATCAGAGTTGGCGAACTAAAAGGCTTCCATAGCCTTGGAAACTCATGACAAGAGCCTCGAGTGATTATTGACATCATAAATAACAGTGATAATTGTTAAATCAACAACGGGAGTCCCTGTGCACTTACTCTCCATGTAGGATCTCTGTCCTTAATGTGTTGTACTATGTGAATTAATGGTAAAACTACTACTCAAACAGTACTTTATACTTTGTTTATCTGTGTGGGTGCAAACTGTTGAGATCTTTAACTAAGTTGATCTTCTGTATATAAAGATAATTGAAAAATCTTGGTGAAGAATGAGATGGGAGAAGGAGTAGGTGATGGGATGGTTGCAGGTGGAAGGGAGACTATGGGGGAAAAGCCACTATATTCTAAAAGTTGTACTTTCTTTTTTAAATTTTTTTTTTTTTAATTTTTTGCCACGCAGAGTTAGAGAGAGAGAGTTATAGACAGTGGGAGAGAGACAGAGAGAAAGGTCTAACTTCCGTTGGTTCACTCCCCTAATGGCTGCTACGGCTAGCGCTGCGCCGATCCAAAGCCAGGAGCCGGGTACCTCCTCCCGGTCTCCAATGTGCCTGCATGGACCCAAGCACTTGGGCCATCCTCTGCTGCCCTCCCGGGCCACAGCAGAGAGCTGGACTGGAAGGGGAGCAACCAGGACTAGTACCCGGTATCCCAACCAGCACTAGAACCCAGGGTGCCGGCGCCGCAGGCAGAGGATTAGCCTAGTGAGCTACGGCACTGGCCAGAAGTTGTACTTTCAAAATTTATATTTATTAAATAAAATTTTTTTAAAAAAGTTTTGCCAACTAACATAGGTACGGATTTACTGAGATAAAATTTTGCATCCTGTTGTAGATTCATGTTTCTGGATTTTTCGTGTATAGAATTCCTCCTAAATGTAAATCATATGAAAATGAAAAATATCACATCACTACCAAGACTTGGTGTTCCAGACCAAGACTTTCTTTTTTAAATCCCTACTTTTAAATACAGTCTTCTTTTGAGAAAAAACAGCTCAGCAGTATGACATTTTTTGTCAGCTGCTTTACCTGCGGAACATGCATTTGTCTTGTAAATGAGTTTCTCCATTTTATATTTGGGGAATATATAATTCAGACTCATATCTTCTTCAGCAATGTTTAGCTCTTGACTGTGCCTTATTTTAATCACTACTGCAGTGTTCTTAGGTGTTCCCTTTTGTAAGCAGATAGAACTCCTTGTTACTGCCTCTTCCTTTGTATCTTATAATTTACTTGGAAGTACATTACATTTTTCTGCGGTAGATTTATATTTGGGTATTTTACTTGTGTCCCTGTTAGACTTAATTTATACTTCTGGGATCTAGACTGGGTAATACCTATTTGATTTGAAATTGAGTATAGATAGTAGTAAATTTTAGTCCAATTAATCTCATCTAGGGGAATGTGTTTAGCCTAGAAGTTACATCTAAATTGGAGTGCCCAGCTTCTGCTCCTGTCTCCAGCTTCTTGCTAATGCAGACCCCAGGAGGTAGTGTGATGGCCCAAATAATTGTGTGTCTTGTGGCCCACATAGAACTGGATTGTGTTCTTGGTTCCTGGTTTTGGTCCAGCTATTGCAAGCATCTGGAGCGTGAACCAATGGATGGGAGCTCTCCTGCTGTTCTCTCAAATACAGTTAAAAAAAAAAAATAAAAAAAGACCTAACAATCTCATTTAGACCAAATCCTTATCCTAACCAAAATGAAAACTTTTTGTGAATTGTTTTATGCTGATACATATGGCACATAGTTTATTATTTATGGGTGTTATAAATAAAGTCATCTAAGTTGCAAATGTATGCCTCCAACCCCTGACTCCCAGGATGGTGCTGCAGGTTGCAGTGGAACCCCACCCATATGCCGACAAGCCCAGACCAAACTGGAAGTGGCTCTGTACATGTTTCTGTGGAGCCCAGACACTGAAGCTGTCCTGGTTGCCATGTCCTGTTTCCGCCACCTCTGCGAGGAAGCAGATATCCGGTGTAGGGTAGATGAAGTGTCGGTGCACAACTTCTTGCCCAACTATAACACGTTCATGGAGTTCGCCTCTGTCAGCAATATGATGTCAACAGGTAAATGTGGATGAAGGGTGTTTTTCCCCTTGTCAGTTGGCCTCAAAGCACATGAAATCTGATTGTGTTAGCAATGTAAGAATGCTTTTTAAATTTATGGGGCAGAATTAAATAACTTTAATTGATAGCCTTTTTTGAACAGGATAATGTGAACATCAGTAGTATTTGAAATTGTTCATCTCCCACCAGGTTTTTAGTATGGCTACTGTGCTGTACAGTTGTTAAATAGCTAGCAATGTAGATCATTATCAATTACAGATAATATAATATTCAATTCTGCCATGTTTTGAGTAAGTCATAGATGGAAAGAGCTATTTTATGCTGTGGACATTGTGGAGTCCCAGATAAATAAATACCTGGGTTGTGAGGCTGGTGAAAGGAAGGCTTCAGCTGTATCATTTGAAGCAGTCATTCCATTCCTCCTCCCCTGCCTTGTGGATGGGGCTTGTCAGGGTCTCCACTGGCAAGCAGTGTAGTAGCTTGACTTGCCTGTCCTCTTTGTTTAGGAAGAGCAGCACTTCAGAAAAGAGTGATGGCACTGCTACGGCGCATCGAGCATCCCACTCCAGGGAACACAGAGGTATGCCCGCAGCAACAGGAACACCTGTCCCCCAGCCCTGTTTGGAGAAGCCTCCTTTTATGTGTCTGTGGTCAGGAATAGCTCTTGAAGCAAACTCGAGATATGTGCATGTGATAAGTAGAATGTTATTCTTGTAGTGGGCACCAGCTTTGAAAACTGGCAGTTGCTGATTAATTTTTAGCTGTTGGCTTAAAGTTGCTTTCAAATGATAGTTGTCTTCATTTTAGGCTTGGGAAGATACACATGCAAAATGGGAGCAAGCTACAAAATTAATCCTTAACTATCCAAAAGCCAAAATGGAAGATGGCCAGGTGAGTTTATGAAGATGACTTTTGTCTGTTACTTGATGAGGTAAATAGGTATACTTGGCTTCTGTAATCTTTTGGGAGTGACTCTTAGACTAATAAATATATAGTTGTCTTAAGACTGAGATTGAGTGGTGGTTTGTCTGTATCTGCACTCACTAATATGGTAATCAGTAACTGCATGTTGATGTTTAGTCTAAGTTGCATTTTAAATTAATTAAAAGTAATGAGATGGTTCCTCAGTCATACAAGAAACTGTACTGTGGCCACATTTCACCCCTCAGTAGCTGCGTGTGGCAGTTAGTTGGCATTTGCACAGCAGGGATAGGAAAGGTTACCTCCATCATAGAGACCATTCCTCTACTCTTTTGTTTTTTCTCCCTTCCACAAAGAGGTGACAGAGGTAGACAAGAATAAAATTGAAATGGTTTATTTTGTTGTTTTATTTGATATTCTAATTAAGGGATCTTAAGATTCAGATGGACCAATTAAACCTGTAAGTTAAATGAAATTTAAAGTGTAGACATTTCATTCATCAGTTGTTGTCAGTTGTATCATTTCATCCATCAACTATTAATATCAGCCTATTACCTCAGAAATTGATTGTTAATTGGTATTTGTGTTTTCTTTGTAATGCCCATGTGTTTTTTATTAGGTATTTTGGAAAAATTGGTTATTCTCCCATTGCCTTTTACCTGGCATGCTTAATTAGAACAGGGAAGAAGTTATGTTTTTGTGAAGCAAAATTGAGTATCTAGTGTTGGAGAAGACATGTAGCTTTAGAATGAAAGCATTTTGTTGGTAACTGTTTCATATGTATTCATACACTTCGCCTATTTGAAGTGTTCACTTCTTTGACTCTTTTAGCGTATTCACAGAGTTGTACAACCATTGCCACAATAAATTTCAGAATATTCTCATCACCTCAAATAAAACTACACCAAAAACAAAAAAATAAAACCCTCGTACCCTTTAGCTATCTCTGCCCCAACTCCTACTTTGCTACCTGTCCACCCCCTACTACCAGGCACTGTTTGTGTAGATTTGCCCATTCTAGACATTTCTTAGAAACAAAATCCTACATTACTTGAGCTTCTGTGACTGGCTTATTTGATTTAATATAATGTTTTTAAGTTTCATCCATGTGAATCAAAAGCATTTTCAAAAATTTTAAAAATTTATATAAAGGGAACAAATTTCACATATTTCACAATTATACTTTTAAGAACATAATGATACTTCCCTCCTTTCCCTCCCTTGGTCCCACCTTTCCCTCCTCCTTCCTTATTTTTATTTCAATTTTTTTCAATTTCTTTCAAATTCTATGTCAATTTTTTTTTTGCTTTCAAACTTTTATTTAATGAATATAAATTTCCAAAGTACAGCTTATGGATTACAATGGCTTCCCCCCATAACGTCCCTCCCACCCGCAATCCTCCCCTTTCCCACTCTCTCTCCCCTTCCATTCACATCAAGATTCATTTTCGTTTCTCTTTATATACAGAAGATCAGTTTAGCATACATTAAGTAAAGATTTCAACAGTTTGGTCCCACACAGAAACATAAAGTGAAAAATACTGTTTGAGTACTAGTTATAGCATTAAATCTCAATGTACAGCACACTAAGGACAAAGATCCTACATGAGGAGTAAGTGCACAGTGACTCCTGTTGTTGACTTAACAAAATGACACTCTTGTTTATGGCCTCAGTAATCACCCTAGGCTCTTGTCATGAGCTGCCAAGGCTATGGAAGCCCCCTGAGTTCACTGACTCTGATCATATTTAGACAAGGCCATGGTCAAAGTGGAAGTTCTCTCCTCCCTTCAGAGAAAGGTACCTCCTTCTTTGATGACCCGTTCTTTCCACTGGGATCTCACTCGCAGAGATCTTTCATTTAGGTTTTTTTTTTCCCCCCAGAATGTCTTGGCTTTCCATGCCTGAAATACTCTCATGGGCTTTTCAGCCGGATCCGCATGCCTTAAGGGCTGATTCTGAGGCCAGAATGCTGTTTAGGACATCTGCCATTCTATGGGTCTGCTGTGTATCTCACGTCCCATGTTGGATCATTCTCTCCCTTTTTTATTCTATCAGCTAGTATTTGCAGACACTATTCTTGTTTCTGTGATCCCTTTGGTTCTTAGTCCTATCATTATGATCAGTTGTGAACAGAAATTGATCACTGGGACTAGTGAGATGGCATTGGTACATGCCACCTTGATGGGATTGAATTGGAATCCCCTGGTATGTTTCTAACTCTACCGTTTGAGGTAAGTCAGCTTGAGCATGTCCCAAATTGCACATCTCTTCCCTCTCTTATTCCCACTCTTACATTTAACAGCAATCACTTTTCAGTTAAGTTTCAGCACTTAAGAATTACTGTGTATTGATTACAGTATTCAACCAAAAGTATTAAGTAGAACAAACAAAAAAAATACTAAGAGGGATAACATATCAAGTTGCTCTGTCAGATTACTTTATAATCACAAGCTCAACCCTCCACTAAATAAAGAATCAACAAGTAGTAAGTAAAAGAACCACTGTTCTTCAGGATTATAGGCAAGTGCTATAAACAATCAACAGATTTCAAAATGTCAGTTTTGCTCATGTACATTACATTTGTTTGTGTATTCTGTGTATTAGTTTTCACAAATCAGGGGAAACATGGTATTTGTCTTTGGGGACTGGCTTATTTCACTAAACATAATGGTCTCCAGTTGCATCCTTTCTTTTTTTTTTTTTTTTTTTTTTTTTTTGTGAAAGACAGGATTTCATTCTTTCTTATGGCTGAATACTATTCCGTTATATATACCATAATTTCTTTATCCATTTATCAGTTGATGGGTATCTGGGTTGATTTGATATCTTAGCTAGTGTGTGTTGAGCTGCTATAACCATTCTATGATACAGATAACTCTTTGATACGCTGATTTCATTTCCTTTGAGTAAATTTCCAAGAGCGGAATGGCTGGGTCATATGGTAGATATATTTTCAGGTTTCTGAGAAATATCCATACTGATTTCCATAATGGTTGAATTAGTTTACATTCCCACCAGCAATGCATTAGGTTACTTTAAAGAAACTTGACACTGTGGTTGATATTAATCTAGCTATGGATATATTAGTTGCTCTTTAAAAATATATATGGGAGGTTCAAATTTTGATTTTTAAAATGTAAAAATGTACTTTTGTTATGGAAGAGATGTTGGATAACGAGTAAATTTGTCAAGTTTCAACCAATTTAAGTGGAATTCATGCTGTCCACAAAAATTTTTGTTTAGGCTGCCGAGAGCCTTCACAAGACCATTGTTAAGAGGCGAATGTCCCATGTGAGTGGAGGAGGATCCATAGATTTGTCTGACACAGACTCCCTGCAGGAGTGGATCAACATGACTGGCTTCCTTTGTGCTCTTGGGGGTGTGTGCCTGCAGCAGAGGAGCAATTCCGGCCTGGCGACCTATAGCCCACCCATGGGCCCCGTCAGTGAACGAAAGGGTTCCATGATTTCAGTGATGTCTTCAGATGGAAATGCAGACACACCTGTTAGCAAATTTATGGACAGGCTGCTCTCCTTGATGGTGTGTAACCATGAGAAAGTGGGACTTCAGATACGGACCAACGTTAAGGATCTAGTGGGTCTAGAGTTGAGTCCTGCTCTTTATCCAATGCTGTTTAACAAATTGAAGAACACCATCAGCAAGTTTTTTGATTCCCAAGGACAGGTAAAGTATTTTCTGCTTTATTTTTCATGTTTTCCTATGACTAGAATGACTTGTTTGAAATAATGGGGCTTTTTTCTTTGTGATTATTTAAAGCAGATACTCAAATGAATATAGATTCACAGTTTTAAAAAATAGACAACTTCAGAAAGAAGAGGCATGTTATTTAGGGATCAGTTTGCTGCTTAGGAACTGGTGTGGAGGGTACCTAGGAGTATAAATGTCTTGGCTATGGTGTGCGTGTGTCTCTCTGTGCTTGTTGGCATGTACACCTGTGGGTACATTTCAGTGTGTGATGACACGTGGTTCAGTTTCATCACTGTATAGTCTGTCTTGTGTGCAGTGAAGACATATCACTAATGTATTTGATTCTTTGCATAGGTTTTATTGACTGACACCAATACTCAGTTTGTAGAGCAAACCATAGCTATAATGAAGAACTTACTAGATAATCATACCGAAGGCAGCTCTGAACATCTGGGGCAAGCTAGCATTGAAACGATGATGTTAAATCTGGTCAGGTAAGCATTCTGTTGAAATGTAGCAGAAGTGTATTTTAAGGAGTAAAAAAAAACTTCTTACACTTGGTATGGGTAGTTATTGAAATAATTTGCCATCCTTTTCTTTACTACATCCAAAGTAGGGTATAATAATATAGTCAGAAGTTGTGTATGTTCTTATGTGAATAAAAATGTTATCATTCTTAAAGTTATACTTATTTTATTTAAAGATTAAAAGGATTTAGAATACCCTCTCTTTTTGTCTTAGCTGATAATTTTTTCATATTTCTTTGTCTTCATAGATATGTTCGTGTGCTTGGAAATATGGTCCATGCAATTCAAATAAAAACAAAGCTTTGTCAGTTAGTTGAAGTCATGATGGCAAGAAGAGATGACCTCTCATTTTGTCAAGAGATGAAATTTAGGTGAGTTTCTTGAAAGAGCAAAGTAGAGTTTTATAAATCTTATGTTGAATGAAGTACAGAAAAATAGTAGGTATCTGGTTATTGGAGAAAGGATCCTTGTGCATGTTTGCTTTTCTCTTTATATCTTTTCATATTTTCCAAACTTTATGCCTCTGACATTGGTCTCTTTTTCTAAACTGAGTTGCACTTGAGCTAAGAATTTGATTCTGTTTTCAAATGGGTTCCATAACTAAGGACCCATGTGGAGGATCAACATCAAAGTTAACTCGTGTTCATCCTTTCTTTTACATCTGTGATTGCAGCATCTCATTCATCAATTTGTCACATCACCTGGGTTATTTGGCAAAGTATCAGTACTGGGTGAACCTTTTTTTTTTTTTTTTAAGATTTATTTATTTATTTGAAAGAGTTACGCAGAGAAGAAGAGGCAGAGAGAGAGAGAGAGAGAGAGAGGTCTTCCATCCCCTGATTCACTCCCCAAATGGCCGCAGTGGGCAGAGCTGAGCCAATCAGAAGCTAGGAGCCAAGAGCTTCTTCCAGGTCTCCCATGCGGGTACAGGGGCCCAAGGACTTGGGCCATCTTCTGCTGCTTTCTCAAGCCATAGTAGAGAGCTGGATCAGAAGTGGAGCAGCCAGGACTCGAACTGGCACCTATATGGGATGCCGGCACTGCAGGTGGCATCTTTATCCACTACAACACAGCGCTGGCCCCTGGATGAATGTTTATTTGGTTTAATGATTAAGACCATATGACCCATGTCGGAGTGCATGGGTTCAAATCCCTTCTCTGGCTCCTGATTCAAGTTTCCTGCCTGCTGAGAGGCAATAGTGATGATAATTGGATTCCAACGACCTATGTGAGATACCTGGACTGAGTTCTTGGCTCCTGACTTTGGACTGGCCTAGTTCCAGACATTGCAGGTGTTGCTAGCAAATGGAAGCTTGCTCTAACTGCTTTCTCTCTGCTTCTCAAATAAGTAAATATTTTTAAAAGATGCAAATAAGATATATTCTATGACTAAAAGGGTATGTGTATGTAACTATAAGATAATTATTTGCTTTTTTTTCCCTCCACCATTCTGTAGGAATAAGATGGTAGAATACCTGACAGACTGGGTTATGGGAACATCAAACCAAGCAGCAGATGATGATGTAAAATGTCTTACAAGGTAAAAAAAAAAAAAAAGGCAGAGTAAGAATGACCTTTAAATATTAGCAGGTTTTACTTCAGGCATTAGAACTACTTCATAATAGCTATTACACATTTATTTCATGGGCGTTTTTGTTTTTTGGTATGTCAAGCTTTTATGTTTGAAATAGGTAAAGATATTCTTTACTTTTTTGCTGAAAGACTTTGAATGCAAACAAATGTAAAAGAGTGTTTTATTTGGAAAGTTAGTGTTAATTGATGTAGGAAGTGTGTAGTCATTGAGGAGATACATAAAGCCTTAGGTTGTGTTTTAGGTTGAGGTGGTCTGTTAGGTATCTTTTAGCCACTGTGGTCGATATCTGAGAGGAACTGCTCAGGAAGAAAGAAGGCTCGTTCGGGCTCGTGGTTCTGGAGGTGTGCATTCTAAGGTCGGATGGTCCCATTGGCCTGGCGTCTGATGAGGGGCTTGGGAAAGATCACATGGCAAGTCGGGAGGCAGAGGGAGCACACACCAGTTCACGTCTGTGTGATCTCTGTGAAGCCACCATGATTCAGTCATGGGGGCTCTATCCCAGCAGCCACAGTCAGTCTGGTCGCTTCCCAAGGCTCCATCTTCAGACACTATATTTGGATTAAGTACCTACCCTCAGTCCATTAAGAGTAATTCATTAACCTGAGACTTTGGGGACCAGGCCTTTAACACACAGCCTTTTGGGACACCTACACTATTACCCAAACCATAACAAATAGGTTATTTGAGAAATTTAATTTTATTGAGTGTGTCTAAGAAGTAATTGCTTAAGTTTGCTTAAATGATGCTTACTGACCCATATCAGAAAGTGATAAACGCTGTTTAGTAACTATTCATCTGTGTTTCTTTGGTCAGGCTTGATTTTACAGTGCATACCTAAGATTTAAGGTAGTTACTGTGCCTAGATTCCTTTTTCTAGTTATCATCTTTTCCCTGATTTATAAGTTTTTGTAATCTGATTTTCATTCTGAAACTCAAATTATTTGGGTTGTGCTAGTACTTTCGTTTAATGAAATAAGTAGTCTGTAAAATTTGTGTCTCTTAGTAAGAGGTTGCTTTGAGAAGAAAGTGGCGTGAAAGAATCTGAAAGATGGTCTCTAAATTTGTTTTGCTTCAGAGATTTGGACCAGGCAAGCATGGAAGCAGTAGTTTCACTCCTGGCTGGTCTTCCGCTGCAGCCTGAGGAAGGAGATGGTGTGGAACTGATGGAAGCCAAATCACAGTTATTTCTTAAGTAAATTTCAGCCACTCAAAAACAAAAGCACAAAGCAAATGAAGCCCCCCTTCCATCCCCCACACATGCATGAATGAAGTGTAACGGGAGTGTCAGATGATACTGAGAGAATGGACCTGATTGCTTTGCTGTTATGGCCGGCGCTGGTGTCTGATAAAATAAACTATACTTGTGAAGAAATATTCCCCATATCAGGAATGGGACAGGAAAACAGTTGTGTTTTGTGGCTTTTTAAAGGAGATTATGTATAAATGAATTTTTCCTTATAATGAAACCCAAATGGCTTCATAAAGTCATTTTAAAATGACATGTCCAAACTGTGTGGACCACTGTTTTATGAGCTAAACATTAAAAGTGACACACTGACCAGGCAATAGTGCATCTACTTGGTGCTTATGTTATGAAATGTATGCTAGACTTTGTCAGGATAAAATCAGATTCACCAGTCAACTTCATAATGAGCCCCCTTGGCTGATTACCCCAAAACTGAAGAGAGAGAGAGATACATACATACCTGGGGCTGCTTATGTGGGACATGTGATTATTTCAGTGTGTCTAATTAGCTCTCTTGTTGATGTTGCTTTCACTGTGTAAGGGTCAGTCTTTGTGTCTCCCAGGTACTTCACGTTATTTATGAACCTTCTGAATGACTGTAGTGAAGTTGAAGATGAAAATGCACAGACAGGTGGCAGGAAGCGTGGCATGTCTCGGAGGCTGGCATCACTGAGGCACTGTACAGTTCTTGCGATGTCGAACTTGCTCAATGCTAATGTGGACAGTGGCCTCATGCACTCCATAGGTGAGGTCAAACGAAAACTTCATGGAAAAATGTAACACTGGGGTCATCAGCATGTAAGACAAGCAAAAAATTCTTGAGCAAGACCATGTCAGTAAATTTTATCTATCTGTCCATATCAGGTTTAGGTTATCACAAGGATCTCCAGACGAGAGCTACATTTATGGAAGTTCTGACAAAAATCCTTCAACAAGGCACAGAGTTTGATACCCTTGCAGAAACGGTGCTGGCAGATCGGTTTGAGAGACTAGTGGAGTTGGTCACCATGATGGGTGATCAGGGAGAGCTCCCCATAGCTATGGCTCTGGCCAATGTGGTCCCTTGTTCGCAGTGGGTAAGTTTACTGAGTTAGTGGGGAACTAGAGTGCTTGGCACACACTTACTATTTCCAGATATATTTGTTCAATAAATGTTTATTGAATGAACTGAGAATTTAGAGCTGGAAGAACCCTCACACATTCAGTTAAGTAGTTTTCATCCATGGGGAAGTAATTGGCCCTTGCATATGTCTTACCTCATCCAGCCCACTAAAACATTGCACTTAAACACGGACTTTAAACATTTAAAACCATGGATCTGATCTAGTGTCTTTGTTTACAGGTATTACATAAGGTAATTCAATAAGCCTAATTTTAGTTAGTTGTTAGTTATTAGAACGGAAATCTGCTGTGTGCCTGTTTACCGCCTTTAGTTTGCTGTTCTTTTCTCTATAATGCTATATACGATTGCTTTCTTAGTTCACACATTCTGTTTGTATTTGAAATAGAGATATTGTTTGTTTTAAACCTTGGAGACAGATGACTATTTGGCCTCTCTCTTAATTTAATAAAAAATTTCCTAAAACCACATCATTCTTAATAACATATGCTAAAAATCTGAGAAGGATTGTTTTCCCTTTCCATGTTAAAAAGCCATTTGGTAATATTGTACCAAAAGAGATTTCAATATAATAAATTATAACTAATAAGATTAGCTGTCACTGCTTGTGGATTTGTTTCTGTTTAAAAGCTGATCCTATTTCTCATACTTAAAGTAAAACTCCAGACTCTGGACTCTGGCCTGTGCGATCTCCTCAGTCTGGGCCCCGCCTCCTCTCTCACATCGTTTTGTGCCACTTCCGTTTTTCTTCACCAAGCTAGAGCCACACTGTTCCTCACACGTGTGAAGTGTGTTTCTATCTCAGCGCACCCTTGCTTGTAGGCTCTCTGCGATTTTTCTTCTCTGACTGAACGGATCTCCCCCCAGAGCAGGTTTTGTAGCATATAGTAGAGGCACAGGGCAGCATGGCGGCACTCCAAAACTGAATCGTCTTACACAAGTGGCATTTTATACCCATTGATTAGTAACACCCCCCCAAATTACCGACATCCTCTTGCCGCCTCAGATGAGTTTATAAATCTTCATGTGCTTTGAAAATAAATTTTCTGAATTTTTTAGCGTCTACCTATAATTAGCACTAAAAATACATATTTTCTTCTAAAAAAAGGATCAGTTAAATCCAAGAAGTTTTAATTCAGTTTCTTTTCTTATAGGCAGTCATTTCTATTGATTTCTGTATTCAATGATTTTATTTTGAGAGGAACTTTATATTAGGCCAGGTGTGTTAGAGCTGTATCTAAAAGAACAAAATATACTTTAAATTTTAATTCTGTTTTGTAAATATGTTTTTTTAAAATCAGTTGCTTAACATTTTCAGAATTTGCAAGGGAAATACTAGAGTGAAGAAAACATTTAGCACAATAATTAAAAATAGTTTCTATTTTGTAACTGAGTTCTTGCTCATAATTTTACTTTATAATGGAAAATAAGAGTTTTTACATCTGTTAAATATGTATTATGTAATTATAAGTAATAGAGCTGAGTGTATTGGATCTTCATAATTCATTGGCTTCTAGACTACTTGTGGTTAGGATTATTAAACATTTCTTTTTACTCAAATATTGGATTATTGTAATCCTGGTTCCTGGGCAAGAATTAGAGGAGCTATGGGATGTGATCCTGCCCCTTTTTGATTTTATTTTTAAAATTTATATACATATTTGAGAGGTAGAGGAAGAGAGAGACAGAAAGGTCTTCCAACTGCTGGTTCACTCCCCAAATGGCCGCAATGTCTGGAGCTGGGCTGATCCGAAGCTAGGAATCAGGAGCTTCTTCTGGGTCTTCCACACAGGTGCAGGGGCCCAAGCATTTGGCCCATCTCCACTGCCTTCCCAAGCCATAGCAGGGAGCTGGATTTGAAGAAGAGCAGCCAGGACTTGTTTTGATATCAGTGCCACAGGTGGAAGCTTAGTCTGGTACGCCCCAGTGCCAGCTCCTCTGCCCATTTTTTTATTGCCTGAAGGTTGATGCATCTTTTTATAGTTATCCCTATTCTGTTTCTCCTTGTAGCTTGGTTAAACTGGGATTTCCTATCAAGTCATTTTTCTTGAGTGTATCAAGAGCTACTATTGGGAATTATAAGGGCTATTGATTGAATAATGGATGATGCTTCTAGCCCACACCCCGTTTGTATATAAATCTGGCTGATCTATTGAGTTCTGAATGGCCAGATCTTTTCCCTCCTGATTTCTTGAAAGTCTTGTGTTGCCATTTTCGTTGTTTTTCTGCCTGGTGTATGTTGAGCATTTGCTGAGTTCCCCTGACTGTGTCAGAAGGGAGTAGAGTTCTGGCCACCAAAGCTTTGTTTCTGCTCAGCGATTTTCTAAGAAAATGAACTGTGTATGCATAGGTACAAATCCGAGTAGAACTCTGTTGTCATCTTCTATTTTCTTTCACTTTGTAATACAGTTTGAGCTGAATCCTGGCAATTTCTGTAACCATGTGAAGCCTAGGGCTCACTTATCTTTCGCCAGCTAATACTTAGAATTGACAGCAATTGTAGACATATAAAGTCATCTATCATAGACACAATAGTCATTCACCATTTACCTTGATCTATTAGATGCTGTTGTCTTCCTGTTAAGGAAAGCAGTGAGATTGTATGTACTGGGCCGGCGCCGCGGCTCACTAGGCTAATCCTCCGCCTAGCGGCGCTGGCACACCGGGTTCTAGTCCTGGTCAGGGCGCCGGATTCTGTCCCGGTTTCCCCTCTTCCAGGCCAGCTCTCTGCTGTGGCCAGGGAGTGCAGTGGAGGATGGCCCAGGTGCTTGGGCCCTGCACCCCATGGGAGACCAGGAAAAGCACCTGGCTCCTGGCTCCTGCCATCGGATCAGCGCGGTGCGCCGGTCGCAGCACACCGGCCGCAGCAGCCATTGGAGGGTGAACCAACGGCAAAAAGGAAGACCTTTCTCTCTGTCTCTCTCTCTCACTGTCCACTCTGCCTGTCAAAAAAAAAAAAAAAAAAAAGAGAGATTGTATGTACTAACACAATTTTGTTTTGTTCTCAGGATGAACTAGCTCGAGTTCTGGTTACCCTATTTGATTCTCGGCATTTGCTCTACCAACTGCTCTGGAACATGTTTTCGAAGGAAGTAGAATTAGCAGACTCTATGCAGACTCTCTTCCGAGGCAACAGCTTGGCCAGCAAAATAATGACATTCTGTTTCAAGGTCTGTATCATTCATTTTATATGTGTGCTGAGGCATGTCAAGCCACGATTACGTACAGAATGTGCAGAGCAGATTGCTTTCTTAATGCAGAATACATGGAGCAGACATGATATGTTCCTTTTTCTGATTTTTTTATTAACTAATTATTTTTCTTTTTTTAGGTATATGGTGCTACCTACCTACAAAAACTCCTGGATCCTTTATTACGAATTGTTATTACATCCTCTGATTGGCAACATGTCAGCTTTGAAGTGGATCCTACCAGGTTTGTCATTTTTTTTTTAAGATTTATTTATTTTACTTGAGTTACACACAGAGAGAAGGCGAGACAGAGAGAGAGAGAGAGGGGTCTTCCATCTGATGGTGCACTCCCCAGTTGGCTGCAATGGCCGGAGCTACGCTGATCCGAAGCCAGGAGCCAGGAGCTTCTTCCAGGTCTCCCATGAGGGTGCAGGGGCCCAAGTGGTGGGGCCATCTTCCACTGCTTTCTCAGGCCATAGCAGAGAGCTGGATCAGAAGAGGAGCAGTCGCGACTTGAACCAGCGCCCATATGGGATGCTGGTGCTGCAGACAAAGGCTTAGCCTATTGCATCGCAGTGCCAGCCCCTCTGTCCTTGATTTTTAAAATTAGTTCATAAGTTATACACAAATTCTTTTTTTCAACAACAAAATATTAAAATATTACAAGTATCATTTAAAGCCTCTTCAATTACCACTGCCAGAGTCTGTTACTGGTTTAGCTTGTTCTCTTGTTTTTTTCATGAATTTACATATGTGTATACAAGGGTACTTCAGTAAGTTAGTGGAAAAATAGAATTGAATAAATTTATTTTGATGCAAAATTTTGAAATTTGTGCATATGAGAAGTTGTCAGAAGGCTCACAGAAAATGAATTTTTTTAAAAAGATTTATTTATTTGAGAGGCAGAGTTACAGAGAGAGGGAGAGGCAGAGAGATCTTCTGCTGGTTTATTCCCCCAAATGGCTGCAACGTTCAGAGCTGAGCTGATCCGAAGCCAGGAGCCAGGAGCTTCTTCCTGGTCTCCCACGTGGGTGCAGGGGCCCAAGCACTTGGGCCATCTTCCACTGCTTTCCCAGGCCACTAGCAGGGAGCTGGATCGGAAGAAGAGAAGCCAGGATATGAACCTGCACCAATATGGAATGCTGGCACCGTAGGCTGAGGCTTAGCCTAGTATGCCACAGCACCAGCCCCAGAAAATGCATCTTTTAAAGAAACATACATGAGATTCAAAAGATATTTTTTATTTTATAATTTTTTAAAATGTTATCACATTTACTGTGAACAGATTTTTTAAAAAGATTTATTTATCTATTTGAAAGTCAGCGTTACACAGAGAGAAGGCAGAGAGAGAGGGGTCTTCCATCCGCAGGTTCACTCCCCAATTGGTCGCAACTCCCAGAGCTGTGCTGATCTGAAGCCAAGAGCCAGGAGCTTCCTCCGGGTCTCCCACGTGGGTACAGGGGCCCAAGAACTTGGGCCATCTTCTACTGCTTTCCCAGGCCATAGCAGAGAGCTGGATCGGAATGGAGTAGCCGAGACTTGAACCAGAGGCCTTACCCGCTACGCCACAGCGCTGGCCCCTAAACATAGATATTTCTGCATACACATATATACTTTTTTCTTGAAAATAAAGATTAATGTCAGGGATTCATGACAATGATCATAATGTGAGAAAGGCAGGTATGATGTCATTTACTTGGTATGACTCAGTGAAGCAGTGTTTATAACTAAATACCAGTGATATGACATCCACACAATTCTTATGCTCTCTATGTTAACTTCCACAAGTAAGAGAAAACATGATATTTCACTTTCTGGGCCTTTCTTATTTTACTTAGCATAATGATCTCCAGTTGTGTCATTCTGTTACATACGTCAGAATTTCATTCTTTTTTATGGCTAATATTCCATCATGTATATATTCCACATTTTTTTTATCCAGTCAGCAATAGACTTGTACCAAAATATTTAGCTTATCTTTTTTAAAGATTTATTTATTTGAAGGGCAGCACTACATAGAGAGAGGGAGAGTCACAGAGGGAGATCCTCCATCTGCTGGTTCATTCCCCAAATGGCTACAAAAGCCAGGGTTGGGCCAGGCCAAATCCAGGAGCCTTAACCTGCATCCTGGTCTCCCACATGAATGGCAGGGGACCAAGTACTTCGGCCGTCTTCTCTGCCTTCTCAGGAGTGTTAGCAGGAGACTGGATCAAAAATGGAGCAGCCAGGACTTGACCTGCACTCAAGAGATACCAATGTTGCTTGTGGCAGCTTAACCTTCTGCACAACAATGCCAGCCCCAATTCCATTTTCCATGACCATTTTGAAGTACCCTCACATGTAGTTGTAGAAATATGTATTGCAATGTGAATGCTTAATATAAATGGTAATATTATATACATGGTTTTTCAGTTTGATTTTTTAAAAAAACTTACATATATGTCTTGAATTTTTCTGTTAAGATATAAAGATGAATTTCATTTCATACTGCTGCATCATTTCATATACTTTGGCTATACTGTAACTCATGTATGTATTCATATTTATTCATATTCATAATTTGATGTTTTTGATAACATCCTGATTACTATCTCATCATTATCTTTTCATTTCTCTTTTTTTAAAGATTGGTTTTATTTATTAGAAAGGCAGAGTTACAGGGAGGGAGAGGGAAATAGAGAGCCCTTCGATCTGCTGGGTCACTCCCCAGATGGTAGCAGCAGCCAGGCTAGGCCAGACTGAAGCCAGATGCCAGAAGCTTCTTCCGAGTCTCTCATGTGGAGGCAGGGGCACTTGGGCCATCTTCTGCTGTTTTCCCAGGCTGTTAGAAGGGAGCTGGATTGCAAGTGGAACAGTCAGGACTCAAACTGGTGCCCACATGAGATGCTGGTGTTTTGCAGACCGGCTTTACCTGCTATGTCACAGTGGCAGCCCCTGTCTTTTCAGGTTGAAACCATTTGCTGTAAGAATTAGTCTTCTAAAATGTAAACCTTTTTGTTACTTGCTAGAAACCATCAGTGGTCTTTTGACAGCAAGATAAAGTAGAATTGGTTGCTTTGCAGTCTGGCAGTAACTTGTCATAACCTCTTGTCATTCTTTCCTGTATACTCTGTACTAGAAGCTCAAGTGAAATATGTACATGTTACACATTTTTAAGTGGCCTGGCATGTGGAGTTTGTTAGGATCGGAGATGCCCCTAATAACTAATACCCCTTTTCCCTGCACCAGTTCAAAATCAAGAGAGGGAGGTGTGGGCTGTGAGAGAAGAACTGAGAAATCAGAGATCACCTTTATTTCTCATGCAAATGATTGAAAGTGTGCATTTAGATCCTACGGGTGGGTAGGCTTTCTCATACTGTCCTTGGGATTCGGCTCATCTTCCTTACCGTTGTGGGATGACCACAGGGTCCCCCACTGGAGCTGGCAAGCTCTTCACCACACAGAGCCAGGCAGACACGTAGACCGGAGAGAAGCAGTACTAAGCATGCTTAGCTCTTTTCTTCCCTAATTCACCTTGCATTCTGTAGTGAGGAGGGACTTAAGAGACAGGAAAGAGCTCCAGGGATAATTCAGAGTACAGTTTAAACCACTGGCTCTGACAAACTTTCTCTGGCATTCACTGAGCACAACCCTCTCACCCACCCACACACTATGCGCAAGCAAAGAAATAATCTTTTTCTCTATGTTCCATTATCATTGTAAGACTGCTCTGCTTCCTAGCCAGCTCACTGCTGACGGCCAAGTCCCTCGGCCCCTGCCACCCACGTGGGAGACCCAGATGAGACTCCTGGCCTGCGGCTTTGGCCTGGCCCAGCACTGGCCGTTTCAGCCATGTGGAGGGTGAACCAGCAGATAGAAAACCTCTCTTTCTCTCTCTCTCTCTCTCCCTTTATCTCTATGTAACTCTTTCAAATAAATAAATCTTCTTTAAAAAAGACTTGTATAAATTTATTTTATGAATTTATTTCCCCAATAGACTGTTGGCTCCTAGACATTTTGTAAATTTTTGTTATTATATTGTTCCATGAATATTAGCATGGTATCTGACTTATAGTTAATATTTTATAAATAGTTGTTAAATGAATGAATTTCAACTGATTATCTGATGCTTGCTTTTTCTAAGCTACATGTTTACATACTCTTGTCTGCCTTTCCATTAGGACTTTAAAATTATTCTTTAACTTTCTGAATACCTCTAGGTAGTTGTTCTTCCTAAATTATGATTATTTAGCTACTTTGTTTTAGTTGGTAGGTTTGGTTCTATCTTTGCTGAAGCATCAACTGTAATATCCAATCAAAACTCCAGTACTAAATTAGCCAAGTTTTATTAAAATAATTAAATAGTAAAAATACACAGCTTAAAAGTAATTTTCTTTTAAAGCTATCCTTATATTTTGTTGCAATTAAGCAGTTTCACTTGGTGGGGTGGGGTGGTGGTGGGGAGAAACAATTTCTCCTGCCTACTTTATCCCTTCATTTTGAAGGATACAATACACTGTTAGTAACCATGGTCACCATGCAGTACAACAGCTCTCCAGAGCTACTATTTGTCCTAACTGTAACTTTGTACCCTTTGACCGACTTCTCTCCATTCCTCTCACTCGCCTACCCTCCAGCAACCACCATCTGCCTCTGTGAGTGCAACTCTTTCTAGATAGCACAGATTACGTGAGATCGGCAGTGTTTGTTTTTGTGTGCCTGGCTTATTTCACTTAGCATAATGTCTTCCAGGTTGATTTGTATTATCACAAATGATATGATTTATACGCAGTTCTACATTTCCTTTATTTATCCATCAGTGGATTCTGCTTCTTGGCTATTATGCATAATGGCACAATTAACATGGTTATGCAGATACATTCTTTGCATACTGATTTCATTCCCATTGGATAGATACCCATAAGTGGGATTGCTGGATCCTATGTTAGCTTTTTTTTTTTTTAGCAACCTCATGGTATTTTCCATAATGGCTGTGCTACATTTCCAACAACAGTGTACAAGGGTTTGCTTTTTCCCCTCACCAACACTTGTTTTATCTTTTTTTAAAGATTTTCATTTATTCGACAAGTAGAGTTACAGACAGTGAGAGAGAGACAGAGAAAGAAAGGTCTTCCTTCCATTGGTTCACTCCCCAAATGGCCACAACGGCCAGAGCTACGCCAATCCAAAGCCAGGAGCCAGGTGCCTCCTCCTGGTCTTCCATGCGGGTGCAGGGACCCAATCCCTTGGACCATCCTCCATTGC